ACTGGATATTCACTGGCTATTCACTGGCTATTCACTGGCAACTCATTGGCTATTTAATGGCTATTCACTGGCTATTCACTGGCAACTCACTGGCTATTCACTGGCATCTCACTGGCTATTCAATGGCATCTCACTGGCAACTCACTGGCTATTCACTGGCAACTCACTGGATATTCACTGGATATTCACTGGCTATTCACTGGCAACTCACTGGATATTCACTGGCAACTCACTGGCTATTCAATGGCAACTCACTGGCAACTCACTGGCTATTCAATTACAACTGAAAATAACAATGGGGAAATTATTAATATATATTTTTTAATTTAAATTGAGTGGGCTATCGAATGGAATTGTCGAAATCTTCAATTTTTCATTTTTTTTTAATTACAAAGAGCATATACACTCTAGGCTACTTGTTTATTGGTATTGGTTGTTTACATGGTGTTGGGCTTACACAATTATATATATATGGATAGATGACACGCGCCGAGCTGGCATCTAATTTTTTTTTTTAATTACAAAGAGCATATATTTTTTTTTTTTAATTACAAAGAGCATATACACTCTAGGCTACTTGTTTATTGGTGTTGGTTGTTTACATGGCGAGATATTCAGTGTCGATTATGGAGTTCCATTTGTCCAGGTGTTTGATAGTTGCTTTGGTGAGGAGGGACGATATTTGTTCAGTTGGAGCTGATTGTGATCTGAGTTTAGCAACTTGAAGTTGGAGTTTGATGTGGAGAATGGTACTTTCTGTCCGAATGATGTCTTGGGTGATGATGTTGATTGTATGAAGAGAGGAGTGCCTTTGGTTACTTTGGTGTTTCCAGTGGCAGAAGTCGAGCCATATCTGATGCATGGTGATTGCGACGAGGTTGATGCGCAGGATTGAGTGTCTGCAGTCGTATTGGGCGAGGATGGATGGAGACCATTGAGGCATGTTGATGCTCAAGGTGGTGGCGGCGAATTGAAGTCCATCAATGTTGCGATTGACAAGGACGGGGCAGTCAAAGAAGATGTGCGACGATGTGAGGATGTTACGGACGCCGCAGGCTGGGCATGCGGGTGGAGGTTTGATGAGAGGTAGGAGCTTGGCTGAATATCTGAAAATGGTGTTGTGTGCACGTTTGTGCTTGACCATGTTGATAGCTGGGAATAGTTTGGTGTAGTCGATGTTGTATTGCAGTTGTATACCTAACTGGGAAGGAGTGATAGGGTATTGGAATGTTGTCACATCTCGAGGGAGAGATGACTTGAGGTTGTTGTAGAGGAGGAGGAGGTAGTAGTGTTTGAGAGTGATCTTTTTGGAGTTGGTTGTGAAGATTGGTTGGTTGTTGAGTGTGAAGAACTTGAGGAAGGAGAGGTCGTTGGAGTGGAGTTGGAGAGGGTTGGTGTTGAATATTGGTGTTGGCATTTGAGTGACGGACTTTGAGGCATTGATGGTGAGCCAGGCCTTGAAGGTGAGTTGTTGGATGGATGAGAGTTGGCCGTAGGCTTGTGGGTCTGTCCATGGGAGGTTGGTTGCTTGGTTGAAAGAGATCTGTTCCTAAAGGTTGTGAAGCCATGCAGGGCCATATGGGAGTGAGTTGTGAGAGTTGAGGAAGTGGTCGAAGATGTATGCTTTCTGGGCGGTGTCTCTGAGTCCAATGTCGGGGAGGCCGAGGCCTCCAAACTTCATTGGTAGAAGACGTCTGAGTGGGTTGGAAGTAGAGATTGGGGGTGAAGTCTCTGTACGAGAAGATGAACCAGTTGATCATGTTGTTGAGCTTTCTGATGTCGTCTGAGTCTATAGAGTTGAGATATTGAAGGTAGGTGAGTTTGGAGAGGAGGTATGATTTGACGATGTTGGTGTTTGCTTTGATTGTTGATCCTCTCTGTTTCCAGAGAAGGAATGAGGAGGTGAGTTTGTCGATAGTGGCGTGAAGGTTGTTGGAGATGCCAGTGAGTGAGAATTGATAGCCGAGGTATGTTTCAAGTTGGTCTTGTTGGATCTTGTGGAAGTTGAGTGAGTGAGTGAAGAAAAACTTTCACTCGTTCGTATCTACAGATAATCTGTTTTGTATGATCGCAGTCATCGAGAGCAATGAACTTTGCACAACACATCAAACAAACAGTAGCTGGCCTCAGAAGCTTCATCAAGAACAATAGCGATGAGATCCCAGTCCAGATCTTCTTCCCCTCTTCTCATTTCATCAACAGCACAGTACGCGACAAACTCCTCAAGATTCTCAGTCACATTGGACCATTCTTAGTGAATGAGAAAGGCACCTACGCCCGATGCAGCATCAGAGCAAACAAGCTGAACGAGTTACACYGCTACGAGTTGGAGGCTGTGAGTGACAACAAGCCCCAGCGCTTCCTAGTCTACTTCACTGATCACCACCTATGTAAATGGTCGTTCTACACATCAGTCAAAGGCAGAAGAGACCCGACCCAAGGAGACATTGAAGAGAAGGAGAACATTAAAGTTGCCCACTACAGTGTTGCGTCCAGCGATAGGAAGACGTCGATCCTCGCCCTCATCGATCGACACACCGATATTAGACATCTGAAGTCATTCAATGACAACACAATCAGATTCGTCTGTGTCCCTTTCAGCAACGCCGAACTCAGACGCAAACTCAGAAAGCAATCTTCAACTGTATCTCCTCCCTCTCCAACTGCCGCTCCGCCTGCCCCTGTCCCTGTTGCCCTGAAGACWATGGCGCCAAGACCCAAAGGAACTAGTCAGTCTGCAAGCTCTCGATCGGAACTAAGAAGAGATRCAGAATCAATCATCCATAGAGACGATGAAATCGAGGCATCCGTCCTCGAGGCCCTTGATATAGAGTCACTTAGAGGYCCCTCCCAGCCCCATCCCACCGTCCTGGCCAAACGACCAAGACCTAAGTGGATTGAAGACCTCGACCCCTCTACCCTGGGCAACTCAGAACTCCCTTTGGAGGACCTTGTGGATGAAATCACTATCTTCCTTGAAGACGATGAGTCCTACCTCACTGATGATGATGATGTTTGGCCAAGTTCTTAACAGTACAATAAACAGTAAAGCCAGGAGTGTATATGCTCCTTTGWAYCAAWA